ACACGTTATGTCCTTTTTTGTTTTAACTGTTTTATTAATAAAAAACTTTTTTTTAAAAAAAAATAAATTTATATTTATATGACATCCTGGAGGACTCAGAGTACATTGATTCAGGCAGAACTTGCTTTTTCATCGCAACTCCTCTTCTCCCTCTTCTTCTTAGGCTTGTAAGCTGCCTCCTGGGCCCCTGTTCAGTGGTTCACTTAACAAACGTGGCAAGAAAAGTTGTAAAATGGGGCAAAACTCACTTAACAAATTTTTCACTGAGCAACATAAATTTGGGGCTCGATTGGGGTCTTAAGTTGAAGACTACCTGTAAGTGAGGGCATCTTAGTCAAGACCAGCTCTATCCTACAACCTACAATTTTCTGAAAAGGTGGGACTTTGAGAAGCTGTATCTGTGCATAGTTGAAACTTAGTGGGAAAATCTAAGCGTCTGTCAAATATCATGTAGGACCTAAAAAAAAAAATTTGCCTAAAGATGGTTTGTGCAGTTATGTCAGAAGAGCGATTTGAAAACTGTCTAACCACATTCAGCCTAAGCATACGCATTACAGGAAATGAGAAAGCAAATGAAGCACATTTTTCATGCACAAAGGTAGATACAGGAAATTTTGGGGAACAGGAAATTTTAGAAAATACCACTGCTGATTAAAAAATTATTCAGAAGAAAGAAGAAATTAAAGCTAGAAGAATTTTTCAATATTTTGTGGGTCTTTCCCTGTGATGGCTATTGAGGCATCATTTCATGTGGGAAATGCTAATGTCTTCTTCAAAATTTATCTCGAGGAATCCCATATTGCTGATGCTCAGGGGAAATTCTTGACCATTTGAAAATGTGACTGTGGCTGATAACTGCTTGAAGTCATTGACATCTACAGATTTGTATTCCTAGAAATCTCCAGGAATCTCCAGCGGTGCCATTAATGGACTTTTCTGCCCATTCTGACATGCTGAGCTTCTCTGCAGCCTTTCGAAAGTCAGAAAATTGAAATAGAGGAAATTCAAGGTAGACATTACTTGTTTATCAATTTAATGTAGCCCCCTATCTCACGAAGGTGACTCTGGCTAGCACACAACAAACTGATAAAACTACAACAAACTGATAAAACTACTACAGCATAAAATACATAAAAATCACTTTAAAAATTAAATATTATTTTTAAAAAACAGAGATATAAACCCTAGGTCAGGGGTAGGCAACCTTGGCTTTTTTATGACTCGTGGACTTCAACTCCCAGAATTCTGGGAGTTGAAGTCCACGAGTCATAAAAGAGCCAAGGTTGCCTACCCCTGACCTAGGTGAAGAAAGAATCAGAATAACCAGCTCAGCAATGGAGCCATTTAAGTAAGTCTCCAGTTCCCTGGGAGCCCAAAACCCAATACAACATAAACTAGGTCTTGAGGGCCTTCAAGATTGTCAAAAGGGGCAGAGCTAATCTAATTCCAGGAAGAAGATTGTTCCATAAGGCAGGCACCACAGCGGAGAAGGCATGTTTCTTGGGACCCACCTAAAAACAGTTGTATTTCACAATGAAGATATCAAGGGGAAAAAAATACACATCTAATACTTCTTTCCTATCGTGCATCACCCCGGTGGTATCATGCATTTTTATATTACTTAGTGAGAACTGTTATTCCTAGCCCAATCCATGATGGAAGGAGCCTTTGAAATTTACCCTAACTTGTTAAAATAAACACATGTGAGAACATAAAAGTTTGAATGTGGGCAGCAACCACATCAAGTATTTGGAAGTAGCAAAAGGACATCCGCACCAAATAAAAGATTGCTTTATTATGATTCATAGCACTCATCAAGACTTCTAATGAAAGCAATGGTTTAATATGTTTTAAAATGTGTATCTCATTACAAAACAAATGGATAAATATTTCATATAGTTTTACTGCAACCACACACATTCCAGAAAATAATATTTAAAAACCCTTACCTTAGGCATATATCTAACTGTAACGTTAGCCTATTAAAACCACGCACACACAAAAGAGTGGTTTCCCTATTTGCACTTATCCAATATTGCTAATATGACACTAATTTTGTCTGTGGTTTGTTATCTGGTGCCCCGTTTAGGAAGACCAAGTTCCTGAGTCTGAAGATCATATAAAAAGCTACTGTGAGGACTATTCAATGCAGAATGATGTGAACATGGTTTAATTGTTCTGAATCATTTCCAACAAAATGTGTTTTAATATATTTTGTTTTGTCGACTGATATTTGTTGCTTTTACTTTTGCACAGTCCCGAGTCATATGTTGAACAGCTGCCCATATACTTTGAAAAACTGGGGGCGGGGAGAAAATTACATTAAACCGGTATCTTGAATTGCACCTGGGATCAACTGGCAGCCAACACAGCTCCCATAATAGTGATGTTGAGTGATAAAGGGATGACAAGGGAACAAGTTACCATTATTATGTTATTGACCTATACACCCAAAGAAAAGAATATAATAGAAGAAGCATTGTTATAAGGATTTCAACATACTTTAAAAGTGTTAGAATGTGAACCCCTGCCCACAACTGAACTAAAATGTTTTCCATTCATTCTTGAGTCTAGACAAAACAGTATCAGCCTTGTAATCCCCACTGCTAATCACCATCCCACCTCTACTTCTATTAAGTCACTGAAGCCAACCAACTTTCTTCCAAGATAATGGATGACAAAAGCCTTTTCTACATGATTTGCTAGCTGCCAGCAGGCAATCCTTTCATAATCATATGAACCTCAAGACCATGTTTAATATGCTTTCCTGCTATGATAGATTGCAGAATGTCCAGCAGGTCCTGGGAACATGGTAAAAAGAAAAACAGGGACATGGCAAAAGAGACGCCTGAGTCTACAGGAGGGGGAAGAAAGCTCCAGAAGGAGAGTTTTCTTACACCAGGTGTGGCCAGGTTCTGCAGACATAATTTTGGCAGGCTTTCAAGATTTTGTAAGTTGCCCTCTTAGAAATGAAGATCTTTCCAGAAACACAGGTGGTTCTTATTTCTTGAGTCTGTCTGCCTGGCAGGGCTTGATACCTGATGTACTTCAAAAGTGGGGCTTTCTGACTTGTACAAACATGAGCCTGGGATGTGGTTTTGCTACCATGCATTCTCTTCATGTGTTGCTGGAAACTTCCTGTACTTTGTGTTGCAGTTCTTGGGCATATCGTGGATTCTTTCTTTATCTCTAATAAGCAGTCCTCTGAAGCACTAGTTCCCCATGCGGACCTTCAACCAGTGTTCCAATGTGGAAGGCAACAATAAGTGGTCAGAGAGGACCAGTGAATTACTGGACTCCTTCCCTCCCATTTCCAAGGCTGGACTGATAAAATAGTGGACTATTTTTGTTTTACTGCATTCATTCGTTCGTTCATTCATTCATTCATTCATTCATTCATTCATTCATTCATTCATTCATTTAGCTATCTATCAATCATATATCCAGCCTTTATTATTTTTACAAATAGCTCAAGGCAGTGAACATATCTAACACACCTTCCTCTTTTTATTTTCCCAACAACAACCCTACCAGCTGGCTTTCATGGCTAAGGCAGGACTAGAACTCCTGGTCTCCCATATTCTAGCCTTGTGCCTTAACCACTAGACCAGACTAGCTCTCAAATGAGTGAAATTGGCATGGGTTTGGCCAATTTCCCCTAGTATCCCAACTATTAAATGGTGGTGTTTCCTTTCCCTGCCCAACAGTCTACTAGTTGATGTACCACACAGATAACTGTTGAGTATGTGGGGAGAATCAATGGAGGGGGGCTCATGCAAAAGGTCTCTCAATGGAAATTACATGTCGTCAAAACCCACCCTTGGAATGGAAAGTTATTGGCACTTGTATTCCCAGCATAGGTGGGAGGAATTTAGAAACAGAGAAGTCTACCAATTAGGAGTCTTAGTTACTGAAAACCTGACAGAACAACTAGTTGGCATGGTTGTCAAAGCTTAAGAAGTGAAATCTGTACACTCCTAAACTGCTTAAATTCAGTAGGGGAGACCATAAGCTTGCTAGGAGGAAGAGCCCAAAGCCTGATGGAATATACTTTGAAGGTGGCATTGGCAGAGTTGGAATAAGAGGAAATGCTGTTTTAATACTGAGACAACCAAATATGGTAGACTGGGCATGAAATGAAAACACCATGACTGGATGATAGTAGACCAAATAAGTTGCTGGGGGCAAGTTTGTGCTGTGGCTAGGTGCAATCTGGAAAAGTCTGTATAGAGCACTGAAAATAGAACATAATTTCCAGCTTTTCATCTCTACCTTGCCAGATTCAGGTAGGGAGGGAGAGCCCTGTCTCATTCAAAAATGAGTAATAGTCCCCTACTGATATATTTGAAAAATGGTTGCTTTACTTTTAAGTAACAGTTTTAATATCTCTCTCTCTCTCTCTCTCTCTCTCTCTCTCTCTCTCTCTCTCTCTCTCTCTCTCTCTCTCTCTCTCTCTCTCTCTCTCTCTCTCTCTCTCTCTCTCTCTCTCTCTCTCTCTCTCTCTCTCTCTCCCTCTCCCTCTCCTTCTCCCTCTCCCTCTCTCTCTCTCTCTCTCTCTCTCCCTCTCCCCCCCCCTCTCTCTCTCCCTCCCTCCCTCCCTCCCTGCTCATCATCTGTCTCTGATTTCTGCCATGCTGTTGCAAATGGTGGGTTCCTTAATAAAAAAAATAAAGACATTTATAAAAGAAATCAAATCATCAGATCTGGAGAGATTGACAGATGGTGTTTTGGACACAGATTATCAAGGGGCAGAAAAATAGCATGTTAAGAGTCCCTTCTATCTGCCACTAGCTGAAGGAGGCGGGGGAAGAATAAGCAGATTGTTCAGTCTCATAAGCAAAAAAAAAACAAAAAACAACCACTACATACCCTGAGTAACACTGAGGGATCTGAGAAAACAGATTTATGTAACCTGCACCTAAACCACAAGTCACATGGGTTCCCCTATGCTTTTTTTTTTTTTTGGTATATTTTGGGTTAGAGTGGTTATGCTTTTAGCCGGCTTCCTCACTCATGCAATACTCTTCAGTGCTGAATGAGTTCAGCTTGAATGCAAGATGTCCTTGAAGAGGCTGATTCAACAGAGCGGCAATGCCAACTGTGTGGGCTACTGTCTCAGCTCAAATTACAGCCCATCTTTGGAGCCATTCGCCTTTCCACCTTTGGACAACCAGAGAAGACAAGGGTTCCCAGACCCAAATGGGACATTGTCCAAGGACTGCAAACAGGTACTGCTTACTTCAGAACTTTGCAGGATATTGTTTGTGTTGACTATAAAAGACATATTTCTTTTCTTTTGGGCTAACCAGAAATACAAATGTAGAAGATGGGTATTGGCAACTCAGAAGACTCAAGGCTAAACTAGTTTTGTACCAGGAGCGTTGCTTGAATTACAGAAATTTAGTAGGAATTTAGATGGTGATTTTTTTTTGGTCTTCTCCTTTTTTTCACGTTACTCAGTGTATATGTGTGTGTGTGTGTGTGTGTATACACATACACATATAATTGATTTTATATCGATATACATGTGTACGTATTTATGAACATTTCCTTCCTTCCTCCCTCTTCTGGAATATATTTTTATTTCACGTGCCTAAATAATTCATAGCAATTTCAGCACTATGAAAGTTGTTGGAGTGCAGCGTGCCCTTTGCTCTTCTTTGTCAGACAGAAAATGCTTTGGGCAGTCTCTAGGTAGTGGAGTGGTGTTGATAAAGGGATTGTAATCCCAACTGATTTTAATGCAATCCAATGAGTGCATCTTGTTCCCATAACAGCAGTCTCCTGGGTCAGCTTGTCTAAAGTCAATTCTTGGAATCGCAGTCCTGACACAACTGAAGGGTGCCAGCATAGAGAAGGCGCTTTAAAACTGCCGGTCACGGATTCTGTGCTTAAGATCAGGCCAATAGTCCAAGCCACCTTTGACATAAAATCCTGTTGCTTTTTCTTAACTGTCTACTTGTGCCAAATGGGGATTCTGCTGCATTTAACAATATGTTGAGAAGATCACATGGTGGTAGTTAAACCAGGAGCATCTCTTACTCTCTATTTTAGGGAGATGAGTTTTGTTCTCACAGATGAACTCAACAGAAGTTATTTCTGAACAATCACACATTATTAATTCTGTCTTTGACCAAAAAAAAATCCCCACAATCTCTAATTAGTCACTTAGGCTTTGTTAATTTATTTATCGTATTAGTTGAGACAGCGTAAGGGAGGGGGGGCTCAACAACTCAAAATGGTGGGTGTGATTGTCCAATCAAAATTCTACCTCCTTTTTAATGTGCATGGGACACACTTCACACCAGATAAAAGGGGTGGGGCTTTTATTGACCAGTCTCACCTGCCATTTTGGAATCATTAACTGTGCTTGAAGATGCCCCTGCACAGTTTGAATCTGTGTGACAATAATTTCTTTACCTGAGAGAATATCTGAGATCAATCTTGTTTCCTAACCATTAGTCACCATACCCAAATGCCCAAAGTGGCCCCAGAAAAACATTGAGGAAAAAAAGGGCAGAAAACAACAAATTTTTGGAGATCATTTTAAAGAGAACAAAAACTTAGCTGTTAGTTAATATAAAGGCCACTCCTGAGAAACCCACTGTCTCTCTGTGATTGCCTTAGACAAGTCCTATTTTGTAGCTGTCAACTCCCCCCCAACTTAGAATAGTAGAATTAACATCATAATTAAAAAAAACAAGAAGCCCTCTCTCAAATATATCCCCATCTACATATGCAAGCTAGCCCATCTATTTTACAGCTCTCCCTAATGTTAAGGGCAGCCCTTCACCACCAAAATATTTACCATCTCTGCAGCAGATTTCACTCAAGGTGCAACACTAGATATAAGCCCTCAAGAAACCAGTTCTGATTCCATTAACTGTAGAAACCTCAAAGATTCAACACGGCTAAACAAGCTACTTTACTACAGATGAGAAAGAAGTCATGCACACCCGCAAGAAGATCTCTATACAGGGGAATCACAGGAATGAAGGTCTCTATGTCATTCCCCAAGATTTAAACCCTAGGCCTTTTCCTCAGCATCTTTTTGAGTCAATGGTCTTGAGGGTTGGAGATATTTGTTCCATGTTTCTGTCTAGCCTCAGAATTATTGATCCTTACCTTTCCAGATTTGGTCCTTCTACCTTGTTATATAGCACTGGGTATCCTGGTAATGACGTTCCATCAACTGGAAATAAATTTGTTTTCTACAGGTGGTTTCATAAAGGACCATTGCACATAATGTTCATTTATATCCCATTAGTTGTTCATTATCACAGCAGGTGGCACACATTACTTGGGCTAAGAAACTAAATAGGGATAGAGCTAGTTAGTTCATATATAGAAAATCTCAGGAAATCCCTTTTTAAAAAATAAATAAATAAATCTCTGAAGAAAGCAATAGAAAATTACAGTTGTATCATTATCAGGAAAACTACAGAGATGTGTAAATGAGCTACCGAGAATATATTTTAATATTATGTTCAGAGCTCAGTAAATAGTGTCGTATGACTAAATTTAACTCAAGGCAACAATATTAAGTGCTTTTAACTATTTTTATATTTTCCCTAGTTTATATGCCATCCAGAGATCATTGGAGTTGGGTGGCCAATATATTTAAACAAACAAATAAATAAATAATAAAAGGATCCAACTCATACAGTGTCCTGCTTCATTGGGGCTTCTGCTTTTCCAGTGAAGAAGGCTCACAGCATGCTCTCGATTTATGAGCATCAGGTGTATGACTAAAGATGCTTGAACCAAGTCCGCCTATAGTCTCTTAAGTAGTGCCAAATTTATCAGAATTAGTAAATTCCAGCTAAAAATTCTGCACAACTAGAATGGGCCCTAGTAATAGAATTAAAATCTGCAAAAATATAGTCTCAGGTTGTTGTTCCTGCTGCCGCTGCTGTTCTTTTCTGCTGTCGTTCTTTTTGCATAGTTCCTTGATATTCTTGAATGAGGAATCTATGTTGATATGGTATTTTGTTCAGGAAGATAGGAGAGGTTGCCTTGTAAAAGTTTAGGAAGAATAAATAAACTGGAATTTGCATATTGTCACAAAAGGGGATATTCAAAATCAAATAGAATTAAAAAGGCGCATATATATTTGAACAATTGGCAAATTAGCATGTGGTATGTGAATGTTACCAAAAACAAATTTATGGCAAAATAAAGGATTTCCCTCACCCATTCGAAATCACTATGATAAGAACTTAATAGATCTGACGAGAACTTTAGAGGACTTTATGGAGAAAAAGCTGTCCATGATAACTGAATGAGATGCCCACATTGAGAAGAAAGGTATCTCTTATTCAGGGAGGCTTTTTGACAGCCAAAGATGGACCTGTCAGTAGCTACTAGACATAATAATTAGTCAGATGGATATATTTCTAATATATTTCTATGAGACCTGGCTTAAAAACAGTAACTGTGAGAGGGACCTTGGAGTCCTAGTGGCTGATCACTTGACCATGAGCCAGCACTGTGCAGCAGCAGCCAAAAAAGCTAATACAATCCTGGGTTGTATAAACAGAGGCATAGAATCAAGATCATATGAAGTATTAGTACTGCTAGTAATGAACAATTGGCAAATTAGCATGTGGACCACATCTGGAATACTGCAGCTAATTGGCAAATTAGCTAGTAAGACCACATCTGGAATACTGCAGCCAATTTTGGTCACCATATCACAAAAAAGATGTTGAGAGTTTGGAAAAAATTCAGAGAAGAGCAATTAAGATGAGACTAAAACATATGAAGAATGGCTGCAGGACTTGGCTTTGGCTAGTCTAAAGAAAAGAAGAAACAGGGGTGACATGATAGCAGTATTCCAGTATTTGAGGGGCTGCCACAAAGATGAGGGGGTCACGTTATTCTCCAAAGCACCAGAGGGCAGGACAAGAAACAATGGTTGGAAACTGAACAAAGAGAGAAGCAACCTGGAATTAAGGAGAAACTTCCTGACAGTGAGGACAATTAACCAGTGGAACAGCTTGCCTCCAGAAATCATGGGCGCTCCATTACTGGAGATTTTTAAGAAGAGGCTAAACAGTCACTTATCTGAGATGGTATAGGTTCTCCTGCTTAAGCGGGGGGCTTGACTAGAAGACCTCCAAGGTCCCCTTCCAACTCTATTCTATTCTACTAGTAGCTAAAGATGGAAGATAGCTATTGTGGTTATGATCTGTATGTGGCTTTCTACTCTGAAAAAAATTGTTATGAACAAAATTGGGGTCAATCAAAACAAGATTTCTAACAGTTATACTGGCTGTCTTCTCCTGATGAAGTATTTGGAAAAGCAATTTTCTTGTTTATTTCATTATTAAGGATTTCTATTGGTCTGCATGTAATATTTTCATCATGTTAGTGATTTTATTTGATAGGAAAAACGACGTGTGTGTGTTTATGTGATGAACTAATTTCCTGGTTTCTATTTCTATTTCCAGCTTGCTTTAAATAGAACGAGTTCCATAGGCAGATCTTTTGGCCCACACAGGTAATAAATATATTACTTTGCTCTTTTCTTTTATTATTTGTTTGTTATCTTTCAGCCTGTAAAGCAACAAATGTGTAGGAAGATAGAGGAACATAATGAATGGTGAAGATGTAAGCATGAGATTACTGCAGTGAAATATGTGGGCTGTACAGAGGTGAAAAGATTAAATAATTCATAAGCGCAACCTCTCTGTGAAACCGGTAACAATACGGTTATTATGCCACATTGTGGCAAAATTAGAGAGATTAAGTAGGTATGTATATTAGATTAAAAAAAAATATCTTGAAAGACATTATATGCAATATCATTTCCACAGTAAACAAACCGCTGATTGATCTGGTCGCAAATGCACAATGAAGTGACCCACCATTTTATGTTCTGTTAACTTCACCATCTGATTTATCCAACCAAATCAGAAAACCAAGTGTGTAACCCACATGGATTGATGCAGAAAATAAATATGCTGAATAGACATATTTTAACTGTGTGCCAGTTGTCCCCAAAATTATGCCGGGAGATAAATATAAACATGAGTTGTGAGCTGGAGGAGATGTGAGATAACAGCAAAACTGTTACCCATTTTGCTCTACCTTGATTTCTCAGCTGTGTCCGTTGTTAATTTTTTTCACACGTTGAACTGATCCAGCATTCCCCTTTAGAATGATAACAGCTATCTGCTTTTTCTGTCCCCTTATCATGACTGAAGCCCATTTTGAACACAGTAGAATCTCTCAGGTCTATTTCTTTACATTTTTTGAGTTCCAGCTTGGAGATCCTTGCCTTGTGTTGCATTTTCTCTAATTTGTGTCAATGATTTATTTCATTTATTTCGCCGTTATTCTAGAGCCACCTTCTCCAATGTGGTCACCTCTGGGTATTTTGGGATTTTGTCCTACTTAAAAACTGCTGGAGGACACAAAGCTGGAGAACTGTTTGATTTCCTCAGTGTAGGAGGTTTCCGTATTACTTTTGTTATCAGTAAAGTTGAAGATTATTTCACAAGAAAAGCCCATTCATAAGTTACGATTTTTGTTCACTATATCTGCTAATCGCTACTGGTAATAATGTTAGATGGCATAGCTTAACAAGTTTTTTCTACGTTATTTTTTTTTTATGCAGAAGGACATTTAAAATCTTAAAGGAAGACAATGAAACATTTGGATTTGAAATCCAGGTAAGGCTTTATATATGGGATAGCAAATAGTAATTCTAGATAAAAGACTGACTTCAACAAAGGCATCCATTGATACTGGCTCATTCCACAATGTCAGCAGGGCTTGAATGTTTCCTCTTGAATTTGTACAGTGCTCTGCATCAGGCGTTTTGGGGCACTGTGGAAAATTGAAACAGTGGCTCCCTCCCATACTATCCTTGGAGCACTGCTTCTATTGAGTGTGGCACAAAAGACACCGAAGACCCATCAGAGTCATTTTGCTTGAGGAACTTATAATTACATACTGGCTGCTGGGGCTTGAAGGAAGAGGGTTCAAAACTAGCCTCCTTTATGAAGCTGATGGAGCAATTTTGGGCCACTTGCTTTTTTTGTTGTTGTTTACTGTATCTTATGTTGCAAGTCTTTAGGGAGAAACCATAACATTGAAGAGGCATATCCGTGAAATCACAAGAGTTAACTCACCATGAAAGAAGCTGTCCTTTCTTAGAAGGGGAACAGTGATATGTGGTCATCTTAATTCTTTGAAGGAAACATTCAAAGGGATTATGTGGCACAGGCAGGCTGAAAATACAAACAAAAAAAGAGGGAATGCTGATCTTCTTCTTAAAAATCCTAGCTATTCCTACGTGGAGAATATGTGTGTGTATTTTTTTTCCTTACCACTGAAACATATGCAAAGTTCACTTCGTAGAACTGTTGACCATACATTTTCACACAATTCTGTAGAATTAAAGAGGAGGACCACAGTGGTGTCCTCAGCCAGTGGCGCTGGTGGCCAAATGACAACAACTGTATGATTTCTGATTCGAGTCATGGCATTTGCCTATTGACATCACATGTGTCATGCTTTGTCACCCTGCCTACCACCCAGATGCCTGTGGAGGGCAATTACGGGGCGATGGTCTTTCAGCTTAGAGACCATCGCCCAATAATCGCCAAGACAGAATGAAAGGGGATTATGTGTTCTTCACAGGGCCAGCCCTACTAGGGGGCAAAATGAGTCATGTATCCTCTGTATCAAATTCCAGGACATTTCTACACTGTGCTATGGAGAGAGGTGTGTGTCGGGTAATTGGAGCTGCTTCTTTAAGTTAGCTTATTCCCTTCAGATGTAGGGAAAGAAGACACATTCAAGTGCTTGTCCAATCAGATTTTGTACAGTATGTGGAACAGTAGGGGATGCTACCTTGTCCTCTGTCACAAGCAGCAAAATGTTTGGGCCTGAGTCCTGGTCCTTGCTCCCTCTCTTTCAGGGGTGTCCATGAAGGGCCTGAGGTCAAACAACTCAAGAGAACAGCCACCAATCTGTGCAGTGCACCTTTTTAAAAGTGGGATTTCAGTTGCCTTCTTGATTTTTCAACATCCCCTGTCCCCTTTTCTTCCCTTTACGCTATGGCATGTCTAAAAGTTGAATCTCACACTGGGGAACGGTGCAGGGGATCTTCTGTGGTGCAAGGGCAGAGCTTCCTCCTAATCATATTGCTGCAGCTTGGAAATCAGTCATATGCAATGCAAGAACAGAACAGCCCAGTTGTTGGGTGGGCAGACCTATTTTTTCCTCCGATTGTTCTTGTTATTTTTCTTTAAAGGATAAAAAAGAGGAAATGTTTATTTTTGCACTTGACAAGTGAAGCTTTCCATGGGCGTAGACAGTTTGGTAAGAGATTTAAGGCACCATGTTAGAAGCTCAGGATTGCTGTTTACACACTGCCAAGAAGAAACACACCGCCAAAAAATGAAGAGACTAAGACATCATTTTATAGATGTTATCAATGGAAATTTAAATAATTTAAATTTAAATAAAATACACCAGCCCTCAGTGAGAAAATAGGGGTCTGTAGGAGCCATCTGCTTGCTGAGTCTTCTAATTGGTCCCCAACTTCCAACTATGATGAGTAACTTCAAGGGCTTGGATTGGACAATCCTATCAATGGAGGACATTTTCTAGCAGCCTTAATTCACATGACGTGCTTATCCCTGATTGATTTACTCCCCTTCCTCTGTTGGATTTGTGTGGTAAACCAGTCAACTGACCATCATCCAGGCTAAAATATAGTTGGCTTCTCAATAAGTCATGTGAATCCAGCTAAAATAACAGGCTATTCTTTGAAAAAGGGGACAGATAGCCGCCCTAATGGTAGCTAGGAATTGAGCCCAAAAACTGCAAGGTAGAGTTTCTCTTCTAACAATAATTATTTTGTTTCATTCTTTACTTTAATTCTTTAATTCTTCCATTTTAGTGCCAAAGTAATCGTTTCATGGAAATTTGCACTTATATTTGCAACGTGAAAAAAGGAAGCCCAGCATTTCTTACTGGACTCCAACATGGTAACTAGTCTTAGCATTCCTATGGTTTAAGGGATCACATATCTGAGGATGTAGAAAGATTGATGAACATCAAAATAAACTTAATATATTTCATTTTGTAATTGTCCCAGGTTACATCTTGATCAACATCAATGGAGTGAGCACCGAAGGGCTAAGTCACAAAGAACAGGTGGACATGATTAAATCATCTAGGAATCTTTTAAGGTAACCAAGAAATCTTGGGCGGCTGTCTGAACTTATTTTTGTAATGGTGATGATGATGATGATGATGATGATGATGATGATGGAAGGGACCTTGGAGATCATCTAGTCCAACCCCCTGCTCAGGCAAGAAACCCTATACCATTTCAGACAAATGGCTGTCCAGTCTCTTCTAAAAAACTTCCAGTATTGGAGCATTCACAGCTTCTGGAGGCAGGTTGTTCCACTGATTAATTGTTCTGTCAGAAAATTTCTCCTTAGTTTTAGGTTGGAGAAATTTTCTGACAGTTAGAACAATTAAGCAGAGTGGAACAACCTGCCTCCAGGTTGTTATGTATTTGTTATTGATTGTGGTGATCATTGCATTAATTTTTCACATGCTAAGGAAGGGATATGGCTGCTCTCCTTAGATTGGAAAGCCACTACAAATGGGAACAAACACATCTTTGTACTATACCAGGGTGGAGAGATGGCCAGGATGACTTTCTGATGGATGAATGAGATATATCGTAACAAATGGATGAGGATTGAATGATTGCACTCTGCCACTTAAAGTTACAGTTTTCCCAAAAATCAGAAATAGTGGGCAGTCCAGCTGCTTATTCTTTTCTTGAGATACAACTAGAGACGGACCATCTTTCTCATTGGTTTTTTCCCTTTGACTAGTTGGAGGGATGATTAAGTGGCATTCTTTTGCAACTACTTTCATTTCTTAACTACTGGCACTTATTTCTTTTAACTATAAGTCAAAAGAACTAAAAGTTTAACTTTTAGTTAAACTATCTTCCAGTTCAAATAGAGAGGACTTGCATCCACAAATCCATTCTTTGCAGCTCTAACTCTCTCTTCCCTCCCCCACTGGTATCATTATTAGAGACCTCCAAAGGCCTTTGTGGCTGGCTATGAGGGAAAAATCTTTTCTTGGCCCCCTAAATGATATTTCTTTCTGTAAGCTATCTTTCTGAAATGGACTAATCTGAAACAACTCTTGCTTGCATTCTTAGGGTTGTATTGTCATAAAATTGTATAAAAATGATGATTGATGATGGTGATGGTGATGGTGATGATGATGGTGATGGTGATGGTGATGGTGATGGTGATGATGATGATGATGATGATGATGATGATGATGATGGTGGAGGTGGTAGTGGTGGTGGTGGTGGTGGTGGTGGTGGTGGTAGTGGTAGTGGTAGTGGTAGTGGTGGTGATGATGATATTAGTAATGCAATTATTGATTGGACACTGATGATGATATCGGTAATTGAATTTATAGGTTAGATACTGTGAATGAAGCCCTGATTATGAAAAGAATGGAACTGGAAACCAAGTTGCATTGCATGAAGGTATGATTTCTATGTAAAATGGAAAGCAAGCACGTGTATTGGCTTCAATCAGATTCTAAGATGAAGGGAACCCCTTGGACTGCCCAGTGAGGCAAAGCTGGATCCCAGCAAAAGTAGCCCCACTGAATCAGGACTATTGTGAAACTTTGTGAGCAATTCAGTGGGCAGAGAAAGAGTCTACAAACAAAATCCATATCCAGGTTAATTCCTCCATAAATAAAAACACTTGATGTCAAAGTCAATTCTTCCACTTATCTACTTGGTGTTTTTGCCAGGATTTCTCTCCCTGCTTTATAGCTACAGATATAAGCTTAACCTATTAACGTAATGAATTTATCACACCTATTTATTATTATTTGTTTAAAGTGCAACATTCACTGAAGCTAGCTCAAAACTCTGTGGTCTGTTTCTATAAAATCGGACATGCTTCTTGCCAAAAGAGAACCATTTTGAGCTGGGCAACTTTCCAAGAGTTTGCACTCCGATACTGTACATAGAGGATTCAAATGTGCTGTGGTGATTAAGATAATGTGACCAAGACCATGAAGACCCAGATTCAAATCCACCATCCACTATGAAAACTCACTGAGTGAAGTTGAACACCTCATTCTCTTTCAACCCAATCTACCACACAGGGCTTTTGTTATGGAAAAGAAAATAGAAGAAGAAAGTATAAGCTACTGCCTTTTTCTCCTGTAAAAAAATTAATAAATCAGGCTATAAATCCAATACATAACAAAGTGAAATAAGGTTGTCCACTTCTGCTCTATTCTTAGCCTTCAAAGTTCAAGAAAAAGTTAGGGGAACAAAGGGCCCAAAATAGAGATGTCAAAGTGATCCATTTTTATCTGCACCATATTACTGGAAGTCCAAGTCAGCTCTTTTGTATTTCTTTAGATCCTCTCCACTTATTGTGATGCTTTGGCTCACTGGAATAAAGAGTCCAGGTATCAATTATATACAAGCCACAAAGGTTCCAGAACTGAACCGTTCCAACATTTGTAAGAAAAGCCCAATCTATGGAAGCAGCACATGGGATCTGCTTCTACCCTTGCTATCCCTCTGTTGCAGGGGTAGTCAACCTTGGCTCTTTTATGACTCGTGGACTTCAACTCCCAGAATTCCTGGCTTAGGAATTCTGGGAATTGAAGTTCACGAGTCATAAAAGAGCCAAGGTTGACTACCCCTGCTCTATTGGGATGACCGGTTTGAATGAGATGCCATACTCACCTGACCATCAGTAGTTCCCCAATGCAGATTTAAACCTTGCAATTAACTGCATCCTAAGATATTTCTGGACTATTCTACAATGGTTTGCTTACCTGCTGATGGCTTTCCTACTCCAAGTTGTGATCTTTAATAGGACCAAAGAGGCAAATTAGTGTTTAACCAAAATCTTTCCAATTTTTGGGGAGGGCAGCAACCGGCCCACTACTCAAAGGGCAGCTGTGGCCCTGAATCTCCGAGAAACTGCGCATCTAAATAATGCTTGAAATACAACCTCTACTGTGACTTTCTCAGTACAAGTAGTCCCCCACTTAAAACCATTCATTTAATGACCGTTCAAATTTACAGTGGCACTGAAAAAAGGGATTTATGACCAGTTTTCACATATATGACCAATGCAACCTTCCCACAGTTATGTGATCAAACTTCGGATGTTTGGCAACCAGAGTGTATTTAGCTTCCCAGGGTCTGGGGATTGTCATTTGCAACCATCCTAGAGATTTTCTGACAAGCAAAGTCAATGGGGAAAGCCGGATTTGCTTAATGACTGCACAATTCACTTAACAACTTCAGGGATTTGCTTAACATCCATGGCAAACAAGGTCGTAAATTGGGACATGACTCGCCTAACATCTGCTTGGCAACAGAAATTCTGGACTCAGCTGTGGTTATCAGCCGAGGACTACCTGAACATTGAGTCATTTACTGATATGATAGAAAACTGTTAGGCTCCATTGAAGTAATTTAGAACTGGAGTTACACAAAAGAAAAATTCATATACAAGTAGTCCTCGAGTTACGACCACAATTGAACCCAAAATTTATGTTGCTAAGTGAAACATTTGTTAAGTGAGTTTTGCCCCGTTTTACGGCTTTTCTTGCCACAGTTGTTAAGTTAATCATTGCCTTTGTTAAGTCAGTAACAAGGTTGTTAAGTGATTCTGGCTTCACAAAAGCTGATCACAGGACCCCAGGACACGGCAACCGTCATAAATATGAATCAGTCACTAAGCATCTGAATTTTGCTCAGGTGACCCTGGGGATGCTGCAACGGTCGTTAAGTGTGAAAAACGGTCATAAGTCACTTTTTTCAGGGCTGTTGTAACTTTGAACGGACACTAAATGAACTGTTGTAAGTTGAGGATTATCTGTATTATTATATCCAGTCCTGAGATATCCTCAGGAGAGATTTTTCACAATGAGAAATAACTGAAGCCTGGAGTCGCTGCCTGACAAAGACTGTGTTACATTACAGTAGTTTCCAAATGACAAAATGCTGTTTTCCCTTTGACAGAAAACTCTGCAAGATAAGTTGACCGAGCTCCAGGCCCTGTGCTTACGAGAAAAGCACCTTACTCGCGGTAAGTCTGACTGTCCTGTTGCAGAAGTGAGAAACGGTAACACCCAATTTCTGCAGAGACATGATGCAAACTCGGTTAATAGTTGTAAAGTTGCTTAGTTTCAGTTTTGTTTGCGTAGTTTGAAGGAAGTTCTGAAGAAGAACAAGAGCTTCTTTTATGAAACGTACATTTATGGTAGTCTTTGTGGTGGGTGTGCCACATCGAGAAAGTTGTAAAATTAGATATTAAAGTGATTATTTTTTTAATCTTGCCATTCTGATGGTTATTGATGGTTATCAATTGCTTAGTTTTATTATAGTTCCTTGTTATTTCCCCACTAAACCTTTGTGTAGTAGGCTAATATAAAGATACATCACATGCATTAAATAAACCAGCGCTAATTTTTTGGTCTGACTCATCACTTTTTCTGGCTGATTTGGAAAAAAAATCTCTTATTTTTCATGTCAGGGTGCATGGAGTTCTCTAGAGACTTAAAAATCATGCTGCAGGAGACTTTTTTAAAACATTTTTTTATTTCATTCAAAAGATTAAAATACCAAATCCAAAGGGGAAAAAAATTAACAAAGACAAACCAAAACTAATTTTAGTTTGTCTTCATTAATTTCCCCCCCCTGTGGACTCTGCTGAGTTCTGATTGACACTTAGGGCTTCCAATGGGTGTGTGATTTATTTATTTGTTTGTTTATTAAATTTATATGCTGCCTCTATAAGGTGACCCTGGACTTTTTTTTATTTGTTTAGCTTGGTCAAGCTCATGGAAGGGGATAGTGGCAGAAAAAAGGTTGGAATCTGGACTTTCTAAACTATAGTTTACAAACCAGAGACTGAAGATAATCTAAACTGCAATTCCCAGTATTCTTCACCATTGACTTTGCTGGCTCTGTATCATAGCAATTTATTGTCTCTTCTAAAGTCAACCAAGTAGGGTTTAGCCCAATGTTTCTCAGCCTTGGCCATTAGAAGATGTGTGAACTTCAACTCCCAGAATTCCCCAGTCAGCATAACTGGCTGGGGAATTCTGGGAGTTGAAGTCCACACATCTTCAAGTGGTCAGGGTTGAGAAACACTGATTTTAGGCCAAAATGACACCCATGAGAAGAGGCCTCAACAGGGCTAAGTGCTACTAGGAAAACTTTACCCGTGATTAGCAAGGAAACAGCCTTAAAGGTTGCTGGGGATTGTAACTCAGCAACATGGGGAGGCTTTCAGGTCACCCTCATGTCTGTTCAACATTCACACTCATGTAGAAGAAGTCTCACAGAACTCTGGAAACTAAACTTTTGCTCCACATGTAAAGGCTTCCAGTGTCTTCACAGTAATCAAATGATACTTTTGATATTCTTCTGGTACAAAGAAACATTTCTGAGAATATAATGCTTGTTTTCTTCCATTTGCTCTTTAGGAGAAGTGTGCTCACTACCAGATTCTGCAGGATTAGAAGGACCTAATACCTTTGGTGATCATGCTGGATTAGAGTCTCCATTGGGCAGTAAGCCCCGATTTTCTAGTGAAAGCAGCTGCTTAAGCCGTCTTAGCTCAATGACCCTGGATAGTGAGGACAGTTTTTACCAATCCAGTGTTTTCGAAGACCCCGCTAAGGAGGTTTTTAGCCGACAATCAAGCACGGAAGACGACTGCTTTCTTCCAACTGGTAGTAACCAAGTGAAGAAGACCTCACTGAGAAGGCATCGGAGTATCAGTGTGACTAGCAATATCTGTAGATCTCCTTCAAAGAATGGAGATAACTTCTCAAAGATCTTTGGGACTCTCCCACGGAAAAGCAGAAAGGGAAGTATTCAAAAGAAGCTGTTGACTTTCATTCCTGGCCTTCACCGAGCTGTGGAAGAGGATGAAAGTCGGGTCTGACAATGGAACAAGTTGAGAATGACATAGTTGCAATGGACTGCAATTTGCATTTTTGAAATCAAATCAGGCCTGCATTTCATATTCTCAATCAGTAAAACAATGGAAGTAAAATAAATAGTTTGGATTGATAGTTTTGAGGGGTTTTTTTTCTGATATAGTTTCTAGACAATTGGATTGATAACATACATTCGGGTGTTTTTTTGTGGATTTTTGGCGGGAAGCAGGAAAGATGGTGACTAGAGTTGTTGCCTAGTAACACTACAAAATAGGCCTGAAACAATGAGAAGGCAGCAATTTGTAGGAACTAAGACTTCATGTACACCTATAAGTGTTCAATTGCTAGCAAGACAATTTAAAAATGTCTTCTTTTTTTTTTAATAAAAATATATATTGTCTTGGTTCCCCAACATCTGACTCACACCTTGTAAATCTGCTTGATGTCTAAGCCAACATGATTCCCCTAGTTTGTGTCACTCTAATGTTTGAGGTAGGCAAGTGAAGGGTTAGAGGTCTTTGCCTAAGGACCCACACTGGTAAAATAGATACCAATTGGGATTTGAACCCAGTCTCTCACATCAAAGGTGGCATTCTAACTACTGTCTAGTCATGTGAGGGCAACATTAGGAAAAAGGATTTATGAGAAGCTGGAGAAGTACCAGGGCCTGTAGGGAGGAGCTAGAGAGGATGTGGAAAATAGAGGCCAAAGTGATCCCAGTGGTGATATGAGCACTGGGGGCTTTGACTCCTAAGCAGGGGGAGAGAGATTCCAACAAATACCAGGAACGGTGTCAATGTCCAGAAGAGGGCAGTGCTAGGAACAGCCAAGATCCCTCAAACTCCCAGGCCCCAGATAGGATCCAAGATTGAGGAAGACACAGACCACCCATAGGGGTGAGAAGGATTTTTTTAAAAAAATATTGTGATCAACTGATATATTTGAAATTATGATCACATGGAAGAAGAACCAGAAATCTGTGTAAGTATGTTCAGAGAAATGCAATGATTTTTATGATTGGAATAGTTTGGAAGAATATAAACACCACAAAGCCAGTTGCAATAAGGATGAGAATTAAAACAGCTTGACAAGTTACTATACTCATCTAGCTATAGTCCACACAGTGATGGGATTCAGCTGGTTTGCACCACTTCAGCAGAACCAGTAGCTAATTTTTTGTTGCCCAGGCCCAGAATGGACTTCTGGAAGCGGCATCCACACAGAGAACCGGTTGTTCACATATTTGAATCCCACCACTGAGTCCACACCTTACTTCTTGTGGAGGAACTGAAGCTGGCGTAGGCCCAAAGGAAATGTTGTTAGCATACTGAATTACAATAATAGCTACTGCTTTTAGATTTTTATATACTGATATTTCCTGTTCTGTGAACTCCCCGGCTTATTACAGACGAACTCAGCATTGAAAGAGGAAGTGCTTTAGTACAAAGATTCTACCTCTTTTTCTTTTTCTCTTTGTAAATATAGCCTGAATAATAACTTAACCCATGGGTTAGAATATCGGTCTTTTAAGCATTCAAACTTTGTATTTATTGGCGGCTGTTTTGTGTTTGAGTTGGTTGAGAACTGTGTTGCCTTAATATGGATCCTGAAATTCCAGTGAACTCTTCAAAAATGGAAACACTGGAGATTTGTCATCGAAGGCTGGAAAAAAAAAAAAGAACAGGTCAAGTGGACTGAAAAATAAAATGTCAAATATCAATAGCCAACTTAAAAAATAAAATAAAATAAAATAGGTAACATTTGCATTTGTATTGCTTAAAGGTGTTTGTATAGTTCCATCTTTGAGGTAAAATGGTTGAACTGGCAAACTTCCTGAGAGTCCAGTGTTTGGAGAGTGGATGTTTTGGAATAATTTTTTCTTTCCAGACAAAATGTTCCCTTTCATAAATCAACAAAATAAACACTGCTATGCTAGTACCACTTAGAAAATTTCTTACGGTTCTTATTTCCTTATTCATCATGGAGGGACCTGTTAGGGGACTGATTCCGAACGGACATACTATTTGCATTTCCAACGCAGTATCTGAAGCAAACTTTAATTTAACGAAGCATGCTTCTCAACTGATATAAATGCAAACAAGTCAATCAGGTAAAATAATTCTTTATCACAACCTCCAGAGGAACCTTGTGGGGCAGTTGCAGCGTTGCAGCCAGTATATTATTACCTTGAGAGCAGCTGAGACTTTCATTTCTTTTTCCAGTGAAAATGCTTCACACTTGATTTTTTTCTGCAGTACAGCCTGAAGCTGCTTGATTCCTGTGTGTAAAATGTCTAGAAATGAAGCCAGCTTATGAAACCCCTCTCTGGATTTTGGATTTCAGCACCTTTCTCTACTTTGATCACAGTCCTGACCCTTTATTCTCTTTGGCCAGTGGCTACTTAGTCCTCTAACGAATGGATCTTACTGGTTTTTTTACCCCTCCCATCCTGGCTATGAAACAAGCTATAATCACTTTCATTTCTTTGAGCAGAAAAGAAAGAAAGAAAGAAAGAAAGACGGGGGAGGGAGGGAGGAAGGAAGGAAGGAAGGAAGGAAGGAAGGAAGGAAGGAAGGAAGGAAGGAAGGAAGGAAGAAAAAGGAAGGGAGGGAGAGAGACTACCATACCCTTCTTCCATTCATTTGCGCTAGAAGGGGAAATTCATATGTGTGTATGTGTGTGCACGCATGGACATGTATTTTAAAGGGAAGAAGAAATGGTTCGTAGGTTGAAGTACCTTTAGAAGGGGACAGCTGGGAGCCCAGGACAACGTGATCAGACAGGACAGGAAACCCCAGAGGGAAACATACATGACACCCTGCAAGTAGCCAGTTGAGAAGCAAGTGTCTGCCTGTCTGTAATGAAATGAAAAATAGCAAGCAAATTGGACAGTAAGAAAACACTAAGGTGTTATTGGAAATAAAAATGATATTAAAAATACCACTTTTCCATATTTTAAAACAGTTCTGGAGGAGTATGTGTTTGTGTGTGTGTGTTTGGGGGAGAGAGTTAAATGTTGAAATCAAGTAGGACAGGTACTATGGTAGGTGAGCCCTTTAGCATCTAGATCCTGAATTGGCGATACCTCCCCAATAGCATTTGAAAATAAAGCTAGCTAAAACTACTATAATAATATAAGCCTCTGAGATAACCATGGTCATAAATAGTGCGTCAGTAGCAGCATAAATAGCACCAGAGTATGATCAGAACCAATCAGTTATCCGAAAGGTGCTTTTTCAAGAGGCAACTGGACTTTTTTGTTTTTGTTTGAAGATATTTCACTTCTCATCCGAGAAACCTATTCAGCTCTGACTGGATGGTAGGGAATGGAAGGATTTATATTCCTTGCAGACAGCTGATCGTTTGCATTCTTTTAGAGAGTCATTGAGGCCACTTGGAGGCTTATCTATGTGAAGGTGAAGATTTTTTCTCTGAGCTTGTGGGCTGGTTTCTGAACCTTTCATTACCAGGCTAGGTAACATCTTTAGTAGAGTTTAGGGGAGTTTATCTGTATCATCAGGGACACCTAAGTAGGGTAAATGGGTTTGGAGCCTTCTTGGAACTGCTGAAAGGACTGTGTTGTAGACAGGAGATAGATGATGTCATATCCCTCCCCCTCTGTTGAAAGAGGGCTGTGCAATTTTGACATAATGGCCTCTTTGACCCCTCTTTCAAACTAGCGGTCCTGTCTGTTCAAAATGTGGACTTTGCTACCTTCAAAAGAGTGGCCTTTGTCTTTTAAATGCAGATGGCACTCTTGTCCTGATGGGTTTGTTCTCCTCTGTTGTGCCATGAGAACAAACCCATCAGGACAAGATTCAGCAGTGCATCTGCATTTAAAAGACAAAGGCCATAGGTGACACTGAGGACATAGATACCCATGACCTGGATGACTGAGAATCTCCATAGACATTTAGGCCAATCAGTTACTGAGGTAATTTTTTTAAAAAGCATTCAACTTTTATTATGGATGTGGGTGGGAAGCCTCATAAGAGGCCTTCTATATGTACTGATGCCAAGACCATGATTGAAAATGTTACGTCTAGATTATTCTTTATCAAATACATTCCAGGTTTGAGTTAGACACTGACATATGAAAAGGAGACAGAATTACTGGCAATGAAGAGCAGAGAAACCTAATATGCAAATACCTGAGGGAATTAAAGACATTTTATTTGTGCTTAAATAAGAGGGAAACCTCCACAAGAAGCAAATTTTAGTGATGGTTCATGTAAGAGTGTGTGAAGAAATGGTGGGAAACTTGTCAAGAAGAGGACAAGAGAGTGTTGGGGAGCAGTCCCACCGTATCTCTTCTTGCTTCTTTGTGACAATATTAGTGTGTGCAGAGCTTCTGGGATTTGCAATATCTTTGTCCTGCGGTTGACATGTGAAACAGTTCTCAAGCACAATCCACCCTCGCAACATGAATCTGAAGCTGATCTGCAGGCCCTGCTTGTTTACAATGCTAACATTACTCAGGTGGGTATGCTGCCTGTTTCTCTGCATAGTAGGAGAGAGAGGAAGTGGCTTTCTCTGGTGTTGCTATACACCAGCCATTGCCACAGTAACTTTGGCTTTGCAGTCTTCACGCTGATGACGCGAAAACTTTAAACTGCCAGAAGTTCTTTCTGAAAAAAAGTCCCTGAATAAATAAAGACCTGTGCTACTTGTATGGCTTCCAGCCTGACAGAAATACAGGTTGAAAAAGAAGAGCAGCATGACCACCCTTTCCCTGAAAATTTACCCCTCCCTCCCAATTATTTAAGCCTTAGGTATCCTGATTTATTTTCTCTGAGCAATGTGAAAAAAAAAGAAAGAAAGGTGAGACTTCCGAGCCTGATGGGCTAATAAGCAACTACAGTATATGCATGTTATGTATTTGGCTAATTCATAAGGTCTGTTATAAAAATGGTTAACTGGTTGTTCTATTTGAATTATAGACTGTCTGTCTGTATAACTTTAAGCCTTTGTTTTAAGCGGGAATGAGTACTTTAAATTGATTGGCCGCCGCTTAGTGGCGGTCCGCATAAATACGAGTCAAGCAGCTGCTAGAGTTTGCTTCTGTGAGAACTTAAATAAAGAGCTGTTATTTCAACTCCGTGTCTTCAATGCCTCGC